ACTGTAATAGGCTCACACGCATACAATTGCCTCTTCGACTGTGAAGTGGTGTGCGTTCGGCGCATACCAGCAGAGGGTAGTGAAGACGCCGAATCCTTTATCCTTTACCCTTAAAGTCGCTCCATAGTGTCTCACTAACATTACGACTTTTGTGGGCGAGTGGTATGGCGCTATAACTAGATCAGACTAAGGTGGCATCCTGCCCTTCGAATCATTATCCTTTGGGGACGGTAAATCAATACCCAATAATATCTGATTGAAATACTGCTCTACAACCAATTGATCCGCGCACCCAAAAAGATTGGCGCACCAGTAATCTTCGATCTTGCAGTCGACCGTGTTCGGCGCATACCCACAGAGAACATGGGGAACGCAGAATCGTTATCCTTTATACTTTCGTATGAATTTTGATGTGGCACTCACGCGGTAAACAGAGAGCTAGGAACTCGAAAACAACCACGGAAACCATGCAACGGAAATGGTTGTGCAGCGAATTCAAATGAATGTGGTATTAATATCTTAGCCTCATTCTGGGACACTAAGAGAAGCTATAGAAGCTAGATAGCCCCATGATATAGCTGGGAGTGTTCACTACGTCAGCACTTGTGCAGAATCTTATGTCGCCTTCTTTGGCGGGTGATTCAAGCAATGTATAGAACAGTGCTCATCACATTCATTTATCGCACACACTTCGCATGAGTAGTTAAAGCATGTCGCACCGCACTGCACCGCTTGATGAAACCTAGCCATTATATCCAGTTTCACTACGGCTATATTCAGCTTCTGGACTATCATCAGAACTTCCAGCAAAGCAAGAGCCTCATAATCCAAATATAGATGAGGTATATGCTGACAACATCAAGCTGGAGACAAAAGTGGAGGTAAGGGGTATTTCCCCTCCATATGATTACTCAATGGCTCGTGAGCTTTCGTTGATATCTAGTTCTAGCCAACGCCGGGCACGCCTCAGTACAAGCCATCTTTGCCTTGTGAGCGTTTCCTTTTATTAATGAGTTTACAATTTCATGCATTTTCTCCAAGTTCATCTTTTTTAGATGATGACGAGTTTTTCAATGATTTTGCCAGCAGTCCAGCTCCTCTGCCCACGGTAAATCATTAGTCCTATTGAAATCTTTAGTCACATTGATCTTACATTCTTAGAAGGTTGAATCTTCAACGGAAAAGAGCGAGCAAAAAGCATGTTCTTGTCTACCGTAAGTAAATCCCTTTCCTTCAATTGGTTTCTTGCAATGTTCTGTTGCAGCAAAGTGCGAATATACTATGGAACTCGCACGCACAAACAGATTGGCCAAGTTGTCAAGGAGTTCTCGCGATTACCGTATGGAGGGATAACCAGGTTACGAATTACAGCTGTAGTACCTGAATCTTAACCTCATTATGATTCAGCCACACAATTTTGGCAAGTCGGGAACAGTCATGTATCAATGTGGCGGCTAGAGAATCAGCTGACATATCTGGCTACTGCAAGGAGCTGTTGTCTGCTGGTGGAGTGAGTAGAGGCATACGAATTTCTACCAGTCGGTACCTCATTGCAGATGGGATGTCGCTTCAAAGATGCTATGAAAGGACGATTCGAAAGACCGCAATATATTCGGTTCGCTCTTGACCAAACGGTACACATTTTTCTCTTTTCTTTTGTAGTAAAGGTTTTTCCGTTTGATTCAAATCATGCATACTTGAATAGTTTCGCAGAAAAGGAAGGGATTTCGTATCAGTAACTTTACATTAGCGACTTACAGTAATTGAACTTGACGCATCAGATTCGGGCTACATTAGATTACGCCATTATTGTTCAAGGTTTGCTTATCGTTCTGTAGATATATTCAGGGTTCGACTGTGTTTGATATCGAAGAATTAGTCGATTCCTTGTCATCCATGGCGACACCCATATGCCCATATTTTTCATCAACTCGCATACTCACTCAAGACGCTGATATCATCTTTTGTCCATTCAGCTATCTTGTGGGTACGTATC